CGGAATTTTTACTTTCCCTCTTGTTGAAACACAAAACATCCTTGCTAAGTTTAGATTTCTATGGCATAAATTTGCATGTGGCTAATAATTCTATTCTTAAGCAGGAAATGTGGCTACTTTGACAGACTGTGGCTCAAAAACAAACATGCAGGTCTAAGTTATCACACAATTTGGATATGAATTCAACAGCAGGATAATGAAATGACAGTTGCCAGAAATTTGTACTTGCTGTCATTTCATACCAGTGTTACCTGTCAAAATGTCTCTTTTTCTTATACAGAAGCCATAGAATTTTTATAGATAGCAATTACTTACAATATGAAATGCAGTACATCAAATCTAACAACCACTCTTTAGCCCTTCATTATTTGGTAGTCTCTTTGTTAAATGTAGTCAACCATTTTCTTCTAAATTATTTATTTATACTGTATATTTGACAAGCATATATTTCTTGCCTTATATTTTTATGGCATTTAAACCTTCCTAAAGAGTTTTATTTAATATTATCATTTGTAAAACTTATCTTTATTATAGTACCATTTTAATGGTAATTAAGCTCTCTAATTGAAATATATACAAATAAAATATAAACATAAAGGAGAATGGCCATAAGTATGTTGAATAATGAATCATCAGTTTAAAATACTGGAAAGCAACCAATAAAAGAAATAACCCCACTTAGGTTTGGTGAATGTAAGCTTTTATAAAATCTCTTGAGTACAAAATGCACAAAGATTTTATAAAACTTCATCTTGCCCTTTCCCCAACTTGCCTAAACTTCCAAAGATACAAATAACTTTCTCTAATTGCTAGATTCTCTGATAAAATATAATTTAAACATCATAGAAAATTAATAATAATAGTAAGAAATTCCCCGCAGGTTTTATTTCCAATTCCAGAAGAAAGCGTAATTCTAATTTGGCCTAAAAATATTTATAAGGGTTTTCCAATTGCAGAGCAATTTCAGGGTATTTTATTTTCAGGATACATTATTACAACACATAACAAATTTTCATGTGCAACTCAATGATTGAATAATAACCAAAATGTTATGTTCAGACTACATATATACTACCTAGAAGATATTCAACAAATGTTTATTAAGTTAAACTTACTTACTTTTGCAGAAGAAAAACTTCTAAAGAACAATTTCCAAGATTTGTAAAGACACATCTCAGCATAGCACTGAGGGTATAAATTATTTCACCCAAAAGGAAAAAGTGGGGTTTTTTTTTTTGCTTGTGTAGAAGTATACAGAAATAAAAATAAGGCACATGTAAAATTTAAAATGGGGGGGGGTTATAAATATTATATACAACTTTTCCAGAAGAAAGTTAAATTTTCAGAAAGAAACAATGATCTAGTTTTTTAATATTTTATAAATAAAATATTATATTTATGTGTAGATCTGCAGAGATTTTTAAAGACTTGAAGGAAAAAAATCTGGAAAAAATTTTGAACTGAATAAAGTATAATTTGTGGGGTAGCAGGCATCTAAAACAGTAAAGGTGTTACCATGCTTCATTCCCTGCTGCTGTTTCCTTCTCACTCCCTTCTGCCACCTGTTCCATGGTGGGAAGCAACAGTTCATTTTTGGAATGATGAAGTTGCTAAACTTAAACTGTCCATAGAAAAGGCAATATATCTACATGTTTACCTTTCAAAAAGGATCTAAGATTCATTCGAAGCAAAAGGTACCCAAGATAAATGACATTAAAAAGTGACTGAATACATTAGGTGGTTGTTAGTATCCTCAAAAGCAAAATTTGTCTGTGACAAAGTAGCCTAGATTACGTGCAACAAAAAACTGGTTAGCATTTGCTTTTTAAAAACCAATTTCAGTTCTCATTTAATTTACTAAAAGTAATTTTCCTCCTCAGGGAATTGTAAGAGTTGGTAATGTGCTGGGTTGCCAGCAGGATAAAAAATACTCTAACTTTCCATTATAAAAATCATTAAATCACATTCCTTAGATGATCATTGGCTGAAAATCATTAAAACAATATATTTTACATGTGAGATGGAAAAAATATATTCATTGTTTACAACATTCTCCTCATGTAAAAATGCAATTGTAATTTGGAGATCTTCCACTTCAGCACATGGAGTGCTGGATATGAATATGGTGAAATTGTGCTTGGATATCTGTTACTAATAAATAACTGATTCTGTTATCCATGTCTCCAAGGCTATTGCCCTATTCTGGGTCACCTGGGAATACATCAGACTACAGCTGGGCAAGACAAATTTACTATTGTACTACTTTCCTGGAAGTAGCCACAGAAATGAGGCTACACTTTTTTCAGTCACATGACCTCCAATTGGTGAATCATAAAATGTGAAGATGAAACCTTTGGTATAATAAGCTGAAAACATTTATAATGTTGTTGCTGATTTTCTTGTGAAGAGGCATGTCCTGGCACAGAGGTTGTCACTCTGTTACAAGCAAATGCAGCATGGAGTGACCGCAGAGGAAACACATGAACAGAGGGGAAAAGACTGGATAAGGTAAATATAATAAAAGTAAACTAACAGCATCAGATAATAACAAGAAAATAAAGTGGTCACTGTATGGCTACTTTGAATGGATTTAATATATATACACATATATATGTGTAGGCATATTTTGTAAAAAGTACAATGTATTAATTAATGAAGAAAAGCACAATCTCTGTGATATAAGTAGGAAAAATAAATTGACTTTAATAATCGTTTCTCATAAAAAGACCATAAAGATGGTAGAAGAAAGGTGGCAAGGAAAACAAGAAAGAGACAAAAGAAGTTTTAACCTCAATCAGGGGGAAAATATATTTACTCAAAGAGAAAATTGCCTCTCTCTGATAATCATATTAATACCAATAGCTCTTAGATTACCATTAGCCTTTATGAACTTGACCCCTTTCAGGTTGAAACTCATCATTTTCTTTTTCATGAAGGTAAAAGACCTCTGAGCACTGTCTACAGCTTTCCATTCGATGGCCAAGAAGAGGGTTACTTCATTTTCATGGTTTATCATAATCAAAGTTGATGGTAACAGGTAATACTGATAGAAAAGAAGTTAGGATTCAAACAAAGAAACAAAAGAAGCACATTGAAACAAAAACTATAAAAAACAGGCAGTAGAAAGTGCCACATGGGAAGAAAGACTAACATATGATGAAGAGGACAAATAAAGCCAGTATTAACCAGACTAACAAAGAAAGCAAATAAGAAAAAAGCAGGAACAGATTGAATAAATGAAAATATATTTAGCTTTACCAGAAAAAAAATTGAGTAGCCAAAAATGCACAAAAATAGTTAGAATAAAAAGTGAATGTATTACCATTTTGAAGTAGAAAATTGGAAAAAAAAAACTAAAGGCAAAAAATATACGTGCAAGAACACATTACATTATAATTGGCATTTGTATAAAGGAACATTTAATCCTATTTAGAAATTTTTTTTCTAATAAGTCTAATGAGTGACTTGTGTACCTACAATATAACACACAGGGAATTCATTTTTTAAAAAAGCTACACTGTATAAAGGATCTCAGACACTGCTAATATGCACTTATAGCTGAGAGGAATAAGGCAAAACAAAGATGAGCTGAAAGTCAAAGTTTCACTTTCATCTTAACCTAGTGACACACACACAAAAATAAACACTCAAAGTGGTCTAGGAAAGAAGTATAATCTAGCATTTCTATAAGGAGATTAACATAATCCTTAATTTATGAATAATTTGTTGATTTTCTTACAGTCTGTTTTCTATTTAACATAAAGACTATGGCATCACACTTAGCCAGTCAATAGTTTATCAATGTATAAAAAATACCTTTTAGTACTTTCACTTTTTTTGTTTTTGAGACAGTCTCTCACTCTGTTGCCCGAAAGCTGGAGTGCACTGGTGTGATCTCAGCTCACTGCAACCTCTGCCTTCTGAGTTCAAGTAATTCTTCTATCTCAGCCTCCCAAGTAGCTGGGACTACAGGTACGTGCCACCACACCCAGCTAATTTTTTTGTATTTTTAGTAAAGATGGGGTTTCACCATATTGGCCAGGCAGGTCTCAAACTCCTGACCTTGTGATCTGCCCACTTTAGCCTCCCAAAGTGCTGGGATTATAGGTGTGAGCCACTGTATCTAGACAGTTCTTTCACTTTCTAACAGAGTAAAAGTACAGAAATAATATCCCTGTCTCCTCTGCTTTATATTTCTGATAAATGCTGTAGTGTTAGATCCACTTGAGTTCATACCATACTTTCTTTACTTAATAGCTGTGTGAGCTTAGTCAAGTTAATAAACCTCTCTCTGCCTTTTCTTCCTCTTGGTAAAATGAAGATATTTAGACTACCATCTGTTTTATATTCCTGCTAGTGCTGTTTTGAGAGCAAAATTGATATAACGCAGGTTAAGTGCTCAGCATGGTGACTGGCACTTAACAAGTACTACCTGCCATTATCCTTATCATCATTATGCTACCTGTTCAAGTCAGATCCCAGAGATAATTTATGTTTATTGCATCATCTATATTTTTTTCTTCCGAAAAAGGAGAAAAAATGGAAGAGCTGTACCCTAAGCAACAACCTCCATGACTCAACACATCTCAAAATTACTTATTTATGTCACCTCTACTTGAACTTTCTGAGACAGAGTCTCACTCTGTCACCCAGGCTACAGCCAAGTAGCATAATCTCAGCTCACTGCAACCTCTGCCTTCCTGTATTCAACCATTTCTCCTGCCTCAGTCTCCTGAGTAGCTGGGATTACAGGTACCCATCACTATGGCCAGCTAATTTTTTTGTATTTTTAGTAGAGACGGGGGTTCACCATCGTTGGCCAAGCTGATCTCCAACTCCTGACCTCAAGTGATCCACCTTCCTTGGCATTCCCAAAGTGATGGGATTACAGGCAGGACCCACCTCACCCAGCCAAGACTGATTGAACATCTAAACTACTTTCTCTAAACACTTTGATCCCCTTCAGTATTCAGTTTAAGCTGCTGAAATAAGGTTCTTACCTTGGTAAATCATTGAAAATATATTTGTAAATTGGGTTTCTAGTATTCTCATCCAAGGTGCCTTCAGGGCTACTTCGCTGTAATACTTCCATTGTTTTAGTTCAGGGAGATAAAGAAGACTGAGAGTGCTTCTCTGTGATCTTCTGCTTCTATTTTTGCCATTTTCAGCTAAAAATGATAAAGAATGTTATTTAATTTTAAATGTAAAATCCTACATAGATTACAAATAGAGGCTGGGCATTAATCACAACTTACTTGTCATCATGTTATTCTAGACCATATAGCAATTATTAAATGTGAAATTCCCTTAGAAATTAACAGACAAGAGCCTAAAGAAAGAAAAATATATGAATCTAAGTCTATAATTGGTATAATACTGTTAATGTTTGCTATTTACTGGAAAACTGCTTACATAAATTACAAGTAGAATTACTGAAAAAGCACACCACAATTTTTTTTTGGTCTGTCCTTCATTCCTCTTTTTTGGAACTTACCTTCCTCCTGATTCTGTCTGTCAATTATGTGGCCTTGCCTTCAGACATGGAAATGAATGTCTACAAGGCTGGCCAATCAAAATTCCCTATTCTCCCACACACAGAGATTGGTAAATCAGAGTCCTGATGAAAAAAGCAAGCAGGGGTCTATTCTCCTGGATTGCTAACTTTCAGAAAAATGTAAACCTCCACCATTGAGATAAAGCCAAAAGAGATGAAAACAGACATAAGAAATGGAGAGAGATAGAAAGTGAGATTTCTGATGACAATATTTGAATCCCTGAAACTGGCTATTAAAAACAACCACCTCTTTAGTTTCTTATGTACATAAGTCAACAATTTCCTTGCTTTGTTTAAGCTAGTTTGAGTTGGGATTTTCTTATTTGCAATCTAGAAATATTGAGTAACACAGACAATCTAAACTTTATGACCAAAACAATATGCCCATAAGAAATCGTGTCAAAGAATGTTATTTATAGCAGCAGTCCCCAACCTTTTTAGCACTAAGGAACCAGTTTCATGGAAAACAATTTTTCCACAGAGCAAAGAGTAGGGGATCAGTACTTGGGGTTTGGAGGTCCCTGACCTTTCTAGAGTGTAATCACGGACTCACAATGCTGATTAAAATGGCTACAAAATCTCATCTCTGAAGTATCCCACTAAGACAATAAAGAGGAGTCAAAAATTAAGATGACATGCCAGGCCTAAGGAAAATATTTTACTTTTAGGGTAAAAAAAATTACATTTACTTTTTTACTGTTGTTCTGAAATAAATGCTTTCATTCATTCACACGTTATTCATTGAGCACCTACAATATATCTGATATTGTTCTAGGCACTTAATACTTTTCAGTGAACAAAGTTGGTTGCTTGAAATTAAGAATGAATTTTTCTATGTACTATGGCCAGAATGTTTGTGCCCTCACTGCCCCCAACTGCCACCATATTTCTATGTCGAAACTTAATCCCCAATGTGATATTATTATGAGGCAGGGCCTTCAGGAAGGTAACTAAGTCATAAAGCTGGACTCTTTTTAAAATGCAAGGGCACATTATCAATAAGGAAGTAGATACTCGCCAGACACTGCTAGTGCCTTGATTTTAGACATCTCAGCTTCCAGAACTCTGAGGAATAAATTTCTATTGTTTGTATGTTATTCAGTCTGAGGTATTTTGTTATAGCAGCCCAGAGTAAGATACTATGGAAATAAATATATACATCGAACAGTTTCCTTGCCTCATCCAATATATGCTAGTGATACCTGAAGTAACTCTCCAATAAAATTATAGTTTAAAAAAATTTATGAGAACTGAGACTAGTCTATCCTGTTCACTTTGCATTCACAGTGCTTAATTCAGTGCCTAGTACATAGTAGCTATGCAATAAACATTTGTTAAAGAAATATTGGAAATCGTGTACTTCCAATGCCAGAAACACATTTATCCACAACAGCAACATATAATCACAGGAGAAAGGATCCCTTACGGGATTAAAGTATAGTTTTGACAAATTTTCAATGTTAATTTTTTCTATCTACCCTAGCCAAATAATTTATTATCCAAACTGGGCCTGTCTCAGGCAAATCAAGATGTCTAGGTTCTACCTATCTATACTTAAATAATAGCCTCCTTTTTGAAATGAGAAAGTACCAACCCATATCTCCATGGTTGCATATGTACCCATGGGACTCACCAAAGATTTACTGTTTGCTGCTTTTTAAAGAAGGCACCAAAAAGTCTGTTTTTATCTTGATGAAAATAATGTTTTACTCTTTAAGCAAGAACAGAAAGCATTTCCTCCTCACTAGCTCCATTCCCAGTAGTGAGTAGGATTTCCTACCTCAGCTATCTGGTTTTCCTTTACCTAGGGGTGATACATGGGGCCTTTCTGCATTTTTTATATCTGGTCCTAAAAGGCCTTTAAGTTAAATTGCTGGATTTCCCAGAATATAAAAAAGATGAGCAAGAATTGCTCTGCAGCAGACAAATTTACCCCAGCACAACTATTCTGGGGCAGTGAGACCCTGGAAGAAAATGACTCTGTGGAGTGTATGTGGTTCTGTAAGAGAGAAGGAGAGGAGCAGGAGTGAGGGAGAAAAGGAGAGAGAGAAGTGGATTTGAAAGGCTAGGTAATGTGAACTGTGATCTGGGGGAACCAGTGAAGGGTACTCTCAGCACAATACTGAAGGAATTGTGTTAGCCACTATGATGGTTAATCTTGTGGGCCAACTTGGCAGGGCCACGGTGACCAGCTATTTGATCAACCATTGTTCTGGGTGTTCTGTGAAGGTGGTTTTTTGACGAGATTAACATATAAATGTGTAGACTCCGAGTAAAGCAATTTACCCTCCATAATGTGGGTGGGCCTCATCCAATCAGTTTAAAGCTTTTATAGAAAAAAGACTGACTTCCCCTGGGTAAGACGGAATTCTTCCAGCAGATTGTCTTTGAACTTTAATTGTACCCCTTCCCTAAGTCTCTAGCCTGGCAGCCTACCCCATCAGATTTTGGATTCACTTAGCCTCTGCAATCTCAGGAGCCAATTCTTAAAAATCAATCAATTAATCTCTCTCTCTCTCTCTCTCTCTCTCTCTCTCTCTCTCTCTCTCTCTTCATATATACATATTGATTAAAGAATGAGTAGAGAAGGAAAAGGAGAAAACAAGGTGGAAGAGAAATTGGTGGAGGGTAAGAGAACGAATTTTGTTTTGGACCCATGGAATTTGAAGTCTCTGGCAAGCAGGTAAGGACACCACTGGTTGACTGATGAGTAAGAGATGTCCAACATGAAAGCCTCCCGTGAATCTGCTGGAGTTTGGTGGAGCTGGTCTTTCCACATCTTGGGAGGAGAGCTAGTAAGGAGGAGCTTTTCTGCAGGTGACTCTGGCTTCCAGAAGGGGGCAGCGGAAAGGATGCTTTAGAAGAAAGAACTTGGCTAAGTATGTGCATTTCAAGCCAAAGGTCTCTAGAAACTTCTTTCACAGGTAGGGAATTCAACAACAGCGCCCAGTGCAGTGAAGCACTGTATTGGTCCAAGAAGAAAGTGATGACAAAATAACACTGAGGCCAATTCACCCTGCAAGTAGAATCTCTGAGCTATGTTTGGTTTGGTTAAGAATGGAAATTCCACTTTCATATATGTATGTATAGATAGATAGATAGATAGACAGATAGATAGATAGATAGATAAATAGATAGACAGACAGACAGATAGATAGACAGACAGATAAATAGATAGTCATGCATTGCTTAACAACGGGGATACATTCTGAGAAATCCATTATTACATAATTTCATTGGGCAAATATCATACAGTGTACTTACACAAACCTAGATGGCATACTACACATCTAGGCTCTATGGTATAGCTGGTTGCTCCTAGGCTACAAACCTGTATAGCATGTTACCATGCAGAATACCATGGGCAATTTTAATGCTATAGTAAGTATTTGTGTATCTAAACATAGAAAAAGTAATGCATTGCACTACAACATTACAATAGCTATGTCACTTGGTGATAGAAATTTTTCAGTTCCATTATAATCTCATGAGTACCACTGCAAATGTAGTGTATCCTTAAGCAAAACATTCTTATGCAATGCATAACTACACACACACACGCACACATGCATGCACGCACGCACGCATGCATACACACATTTTTTTGGTCCTGTTTCTCTGGAGAACCCTGACTAACATATCCTCTTTCAAAGACCATGTTGACTTGCAAGGCTGAGGTGGAACTGGTGCCAGAAAGACTTTCCTGAAGCAAGGACCAGTAGAGCCAGTCAGATGATGGATCAGTTATGGTGACGTGGGTCAGCAAGAAGCTATGGCAATGACAGCACCACCAATAGTACTGGCAGCACCAACAGACAAACTAACTGACATTAGGGGTCATACTCATTCTGGAAGGGGCAGCTGGAGAATCTTCATTTTGAACAGCAATTAACACCTAAGGTTCATAGATAATCTACAGGAGATGGGAAGCTCAAAGATCATGAGGCTACACTGCTATTAAGTAAGCATATGGAGGAGTAAAAGGAATATAACAATTTATACCCAAAATATTATGGACGAGTTGACACAAGACATCATAGTTTTCTCTGGTACTTTCTAACTATGTGACCTATTGACATAAGACATCATGTCTTTCTCTGGCACTTTCTAACTATGTGACCTTCATTAGAGAAATGCAAATCAAAACCACATTGAGATACCATCTCACACCAGTTAGAATGGCGATCATTAAAAAATCTGGAAACAACTGATGCTGGAGAGGATGTGGAGAAATAGGAACACTTTTACACTGTTGGTGGGAATGTAAATTAATTCAACCATTGTGGAAGACAGTGTGGCGATTCCTCAAGGACCTAAAAATAGAAATCCCATTTGACCCAGCAATCCCATTACTGGGTATATATCCAAAGGATTATAAATCATTGTACTATAAGGACACGTGCACACGAATGTTCATTGCAGCACTGTTTACAATAGCAAAGACCTGGAACCAACCCAAATGCCCAACGATGATAGACTGGATAGGGAAAATGTGGTACATATACACCATGGAATATTACGTAGCCATCAAAAACGATGAGTTCACGTCCTTTGTAGGGACATGGATGAACCTGGAAACCATCATTCTCAGCAAACTGACACAAGAGCAGAAAATC